AGAGCCAATTGGGGAAAGAGGAAAGGACTGACGGTGAGAAATTGGAGAAGAATTGGCGTTTGTTTGGGAGTTCAACATTGCGGCTGTAGGAAATAAAAAAGGTGTGGCTGAATCAGATTTTATATACATATAAATTGGTGGTCGGCAGAAAGAATTTAGAGAAGTGGGCTGATTCTTATATATATATATATATATATATATATACACGCATCAATAAATGGCAATTGGGCAAGAGGAGAGTTTTGGTTGGAATTACATACATGATACATAAATGCCAACTGGGAATTAGACACACGAATACAAATGGACAGCTGCCTAGGAATTATCAACATACATGCACACAAGTCGAGCAAATTTGTGGAAAATTTAATAACGTTCCGTCAAATTTTTTTGGGTGATCTCTTTCCACGTTATGTGTTTAATTTTAACATCATGTTAGGCTAATTTTTTCATGTATTAGATAAAGATGAAATCCGTTATTATTTATTTTTAATTCAAGACACGTGCTTTAATTAAATTCTTGCAATTGTTGATTAATCTTGCATGCTTAATTTTATTATTTAATTGCTAGATCACTAATTAATATATGGTTGCTTGTTATAGTGTTGGGATGTTCAAAATAAGTTTAGAACACCGCATGATTAACATACGTGCAATAAATTTTATAAATAAGATTTATCATGTGTGCAATTTTTAAGATAATTGTGAAATTAAATGTGTTCTATTCATAGGAATTCGGACTAGGAATAGGATCAGGTCGTGAATATGATAGATTTAATTAGTCTTGAAAAGAAAAATTAATTACAATAGAATTATCGACTGTCAAGAATATAAGAACGAAATTAGCTACTTAATCAAAATTTGGAATAGATAATAAAAGGTGGATTCGTAATCCAATACACTATTCTCATATACATATTAAATTCGCATTTTACACGTTTTCGTAGATTAAATTAGAATAATTAGAAATCACAAAAATCACTTTTATTTGTTCGCTTTGAATCTAATTAAAGACTAGTATACTCAATTAAATTTTATTCCTCGTGGGACGATACTCTCGACTCATCAAATCTATTACTTGTCAACGACTCTGTACGCTTGCGGGTTTCACACAAACAATAACTAATCTAAAAAAAACTATTATTGTGCCCAAAATATACTATTTAACATGTGTTACAAAATGAGTATGATATCAATATATTTTAATCAACTTCTAAAATACTTAAATATTTGATCCAAATAACTTACAATAAATTTTTATGCAAGTTGGCCAAGTTTTAAACTTTAGTAAAATGACAATGTATAATGACAATGCTGGACATGAACTTTCTTATTTGCAAAATGATCATTATTATGGTTAGCTCGTATAAAAATATAATTAAAGGGAACACCACATAAATACTTCATTTAAAAATCATATTTTAAAACTAACAAACTTTTAAAAATCTTTCAAAAATCAGGTGATATTTTAATTTATTAAATATTTAATTATAATATAGTATAATTAATATATTCATCCCACCTCACCTCCAATGCACCCCCACCCACCGATCACATCAAACCTTCTCTTTCTCTCTCCATCCCATCCAACCTCCAGTGACTGCTCCGTTGACCCCATCCCAACTCCAACGACTTCTCCGGCGATGGCTTCGGCGACTTCTCCGATGACTATTAAGGTCACAATTTTGCAATTAATGGTCACAAATGCAAAGGTATAGGTCACAATGTTACAATTTTGCAATTAATGGTCACATATATAGGTATTGGTCATAGATTATTTATTGATCACAAATTAAAAAACTTATAGGTCACAATTTATTTGTCGATCACAGATTAATGTTCACAGAGGCATAGGTATCGGTCACAATGTCACAATTTTGCAATTAATGGTCACATATGCTTAGGTATTGGTCACGAATTATTTATCGATCACAAATCAAAAAACTTATATGTCACAATTTATTTGTCGATCACATATTGTCAAAATAATTAGCCACATATTATCATATTTTTAGGACACAATTAAATTGAAGGTCACAGATAACTAAATAGATGATCACATATGTCAAACTGTGGGTCACATACCACCATCACCAACAATATCGCACCGCCACGGCCACAACAACCACTTGTGACCACCTCACCCTGCTATCACCACCGCCAACGCCACAACATCGCCACCAACACCGCCTACATCACCATTGCCAACACGAGCACCTCCACCGTTGCTAGAAACCACCACGACCACCACCACCAAGCACACCAACAATACCCAACCCACAATCTTACCAACATAACCAACATATTCACCGCTAACATGGTCATCGTCATAAACCATCACAGCCACAAGGACCGTAACCACACCCAAAAACCACCACCAAAAACACACTTCAACGCACCACTCTACAACCTCACCAACACCACCCACATCAGCAACACAGGCAAAAGCAGCAAAAAGGGTTAGAACCAGTAGCAACCGCACTCGTCCTTGGCCACGGCGACGACATCGTCGCTCAAAAAATGTTGCAACACCACCAACCTCTTGAAATGGTGAATTCCAACAGTTTTGTAGATTTTATGCTTCTTGTGAGGAGACCTACAACATGAACGGTGCTAGAAGTAGATTCAAAGTCCTCTTCCTTGTCTAAAAAGCACCGGAGCAGCCCTAGAACTCTTAGCTTCATTGACATTGGAGCCCCCGGTCTCAACTCCCGAGGTCGGTACCTCAACCCACCGTTTCATATCCACTGCCACGTCAGCCACTAGAGGAACTGTCAGGTATCGATGGTCAACGAGGGGGGCAAAAATGTCGATGGGAAAAACGGCATCGGTGGACAGAATGGTGAGGCGCCGATCGTAGACATCTATGAAGATCTGAAAGTTTTTATATGTGTTAGTTTGTTAACTGTATGTTAGAGACAGGAGAGGCGTGATAGAGAGGGAAGTGGTATGGTAGAGATGGCGAGGTTGTTGAGTGTGGTGTTGGCGAGGTGGTGTCGACGGTATGGTGGCGATTGTGCTTCCGGTGTCAGCTAGAGAGAGGAGATGCGGAATAGAGAAAGAAGGGAGAAATTGGGAAGGAATGATGATATTCAAGTTTTTGTGTGAATAGTTGTGTATGGGTTAGGAGTAATGAATGTGTATATTTAATTTTGTAGTTATATTTTTATTATCTTTAATTATTAAAATTTAAACCTTATTTGTTTCCCATTATTTACTCATTAAAATAAAAAATATGACATTTATCCATCACAGCAAATCACCATATTTGAAAATCTATCTCTTATGTGAAGTCCGTAACGATCATATTTTTCATTCTTATATTAATGTGATTCAAATGAAGCCTTAATTAACACATGATTATTGAAAATGAAATTTAATCCCTTGTTTTTGGAAAATCAATCTATAAATGTTGGTTTGTAGGTAATTTTCCCTGACTAAAATTTGGTATCTCACAAAAATTGAACTATAGAATCATAGCAAAAATTGAAGGCACAGCATATAATTTTACATTATGATTCTCCACACTGGAATCAGATTTTTACACATCGACAGAGATGACCACTAGGATACGGTCAAGAACTTTATGTAGACTTGATCGATCATGAACACCGAGAGCAAATCAACAAAGCTTGAACAAAATCAGATAGGCAACGACGTAATATTCATATTACATATCTACATCAGTTGTATTCCGGCTGCTGACATGATTTTATGCTACTGAATCTCTACATCGGTTGAAACTAGAGCTGGAGGAATGTATAGCTCCTCTTCCTTAGGTGGATGGATTGTGACAAGGTCAGGTAAGGGTTTAACCGGACCCTGCTTGCCTTTCGGGTCCCATTCAAGCATGATCTTCACTTTGATACCCAGAACGCCCTGCACCGTATATAACCAATCAAATTGAAAGTTCAGATGTAGATAAAAAAAAATGGGACCAAATTATCTGGACAATAAAATGATCGATTAAAAGAACCACCTTCAATGATATCTCGACAAATGAAAAGAAATTTCATGAACTTGCCTGTCGAAGAAGAACGTGCCTCACAGCAGAGTCGATGTACTCTTTCACAGGCTGGCCAGAGGATATCATGTAGCCATCCTTGAACTTCATTGATTTTGCACGTTGAGCTCGAAGCTTTCCACTAACAATAACCTGAAATTGATAAATACTGATTGGAATCAAGGTTGATGATGAGAAAAACCCTACGGAAGGGATAGTAAAACAAGTTCATACCTCACACCCCTTTGCTCCATTTTCCATAACAAATCGTAAAACACCGTAGCAAGCCCTGCAGAGGAAAAAAGAATTTAGCGAAATGAAAAAGTTAGGACTGCAAATTATCTGATCTATTTCTTCTCTACTTGTGATAATTTATTTGCGGCAAAAATACATACAATTCTTAGCCTTTCTTTTTCGTGGACTTTTAATATTTTCACTTTTTGTGGGATATTTCTTTTTTTCCCCATTTATCGAGCAGACTAGATGACTTTCAATTTTGAATTGACAAGCAAGTATAATAAAATAAGGAGAACCTTATGGTGAAATCAGGATTCTGTACGTAATTTCACATCAACTTTAACTGTTGAGTAACTCTCCCACCATAAAATTATCCAGATCAAGACATGATTCAAAATATACAATAGTTTTCAATAAGCTTTAAGTGTAAAGATCTGTAGGGGAATATTCCAAACTCCATTAACATAAAAGTTCATGAAGCCTGACAAACTCCAAATATTCAATATAAGCATTGAAGAAAGCCACTACGACCCATTTTTAATGGGTAAGGGATTATCAACAATCAATGCCATCCCTGAAAATATTACTGTATAGAAAATTACTAATTCAAATATCAAGTAAAACATAATAAAGGATCCACAAATTGATATAACATTGACGATACAAAATTCATGCAAAACTAGCGCAAATGGTCCCTAACCTATTGCCAATGGGCAATTTCAGTCCCTAAAGTATTATCCTTAACATGGACTTCCTCAACAGCTTGACCTATGGTCTAGGTGCGCAAATAGCACTTTTCATTACATCTTATCTAGAGGATGTTAAACGGGCAATAAGGTAAAGAAAAAAAGGGTAAGCCTCGAGGCTTTACCCTCTTATTCTAAACTTGCAAAAATTATCCATCCTTTTTGTTTAAATACGAGGTTCCTATGCAATTTGGTTGACATGGTTTCATACATTGACCTGTTTCAAAACCAAACCAAATAAAAGGCCAATTAAAAAACCAGCAAAATAGCATGTTCATATCACATAATCAAGTCATCTCAGATACAGCATGTCTTGATTTCACTCTTATTCTGATACAGAATGCAATAGGAAGAATAAAGGAGACAAATTCAAAAATAATAAAAAATTAAAATGCCTACAACATTTCTAAACTCCAAATCCTCCCACTGTCAAATGTAGCAATACTTGACAGGAGGTAAAAAATGGGCCAATTTCTTTGCATAATCTACAAACATATTCCAGGACAAAAGTTTGCCAATATAAGCTAACCAGCACATAGTTAACAACATTTGAAGGAAAAGAAAAGAATATATAGTGGCTATGTAGGAGCAATCTGAAAACCCCATTACGTTGGTGCTAGTAAAGGGGCCAACCTTGCTCACTAAATTGATTTAAGCATTGACTCCGTCCCCTTAATACCAAATCCTTAAGAGGAAAATAAGAAATATAATCAATGCTGCTTCATCTTTATATATATGCTATACCTGTTATATACGGGTTTAATGAATAGGCTATATAAATAGAAATATACACACATTATGAAATCCAACAAAAAGAAGGTTGAACATAATGTAAAGGGTGAAAACCTGCGAACAGCAAGCCCTCCAAGAAGCTTATAGCGTAGCGACTCAGCCTGGGCAATAGCACACAAGCCCCTGTTGTTAACTCTTTCAGCATAAAGCTCAACACTGTTCTCAGGAAACTTGAACCTCTTCTGATCAACAGATGTCAACTCTCTAATCCTTCTCCCTTTCTCACCTAACAGAATACCCACTCTAAACCATCAAAAGATTGTTGCTGTTATATTATCCATCAAGATCACATAAATATTTTGGCATATAATGCAAACTAATTATGGAACCCACAATTCTTCATCTACTGAGATTTTATAAGTAATATCTAAGTGATACAGGAATTTCACCTCTATTTTACGGACTACAAGAAGTACCAAAAGGGTATTTTCCGTGATTTACTCTACAACTAAACAAACCAGATTCAACATTCCATACATAAAAAGATCATCGAAAACATTAAAATTGTTATATCCTCGAGTTCTGACATTAATTCTTCCCTCAAATTCTAGAGCAGTTTAGATGAACCAGGTGATGAATTAAAAATTCCAACCCTTGAAATTAAGAGAATAAATAATCATGCATTACTTAAGATTGAGATTTACCAAGAACATTTTGAGTTCGAGTGGCCCTTATGATGATCTCAGTGCGCATGGGAGTGACTCTCACCTCTACCCCTGAGTAGCCATCCTCGGCCAGCTCTCTTGTTAGCACCTCGTTCAGCTCAGCAAAAAACACTCCATCTGCCACAAACTGCACCAACAAAGAGAAAAATCCCTATCACTTCCACATATAATCACGTAATGTAACTACAATTCATTCATATAACTAGTGCTTATGAATAGATATGTAGAAAGAGAGTGGGATAAAAAAACCTTTCGTTTTTTGCTCATTTGAGTGGCCATTTTCAGAGGATTAAGCTCTGTGATTGGTTATTAGCTTTGTTTTTGAGCTGGTGGCTGTGGGAAAGATTGGGAATGACGAGGAGAATTTTGAGGTTTTCAGGGGAAAGCAACAACAAATATATTGACGCTGTTTGATTAGGGTTTCATCGTATGGGCTAGAATGTTGAGCCGGCCCTAGAGCTGTAAATGGGGACTGAGTGTGGATGTCAATTTTGTGACCCATATTTGCCCACCCCGGAAATGACTAGAACTGAGCAAATTTCTCGAGTCGAATCGATCGAATCGAACTCAATAGTTCTTCTCAAGTTAAATATTCGAACGGGCATCTGAATTAAGAATCGACGGGTACGATTTGATTCTCGATTCTAGATCAAGAACCGAATAAGAACCAAATGTTCCTAATTTTTTTTTTTATATTGAATAAATCAAATTATTTTAATTTTTTCTAAACAAATTAACAAATTAGATGATTAATTGATACTTTATCTCCTAAGCCCTAGCCTAGCTACCTTGACCGAACCCAATCAATTTCTAAATCCAATTTTTTGGCCCAATTATTTGTTTCATTTCTAATTTTTTTAATTTTTAGCCCAAATGTCGTTTTTAGTTTTTATTCTTCCATTTTTTAGCCCAACATCCAAGTAATCCAACCCATTAACGACTAACCCTAAATAAATTACACACATTATCACCTACACATAACACATCTAACATTCCAAAACTCAAATATATGTATAGAACCTCCGACTCCGAGTCCGAAGATATGACCTTCGAGCTCCGATAGCGACCTTCGACCGTTGATCATTTGAATAAGGTAATGTGTAAACTTCTCTATATGTGATTGGTAAATTAATCTTGTTGGACAACTTATTATATACATGTTAAATTGGATTACGTTAATTTATAAAATTACGATTGAATGTGTTATTAGTTGTATTTATGTGGTGTTGTTATAAATATTAAAAAAATTAATTATAGTACAGAATCGAACGGAACCGAACCGATCCGAACGGAACTGAACCGAACCGAACGGTTCCATAAATATATTTGGACCCGACGGTTCTATTTACTAAATACCTGAAATTTTTGGTTCAGTTCGGTTCTCTTTAAAACTGAACCGAACCGACCCGCACCCAGACCTAGGAATGACCATCAAGTGTAGAGAAAAAATAATAATAATAAAATAAATAATAAAAAAAGGGGAAAGGAAGACAAATTATATTACGCATAATTTCCTTTTTTTTTTTTTAATCACACATTTTTCAAGAATTCACTATTAAAAACATTTTATTTTATTTATTTTTTCAAAAATAACCACCAGAGAGATTGACTACTTTGAATGGAATTTGTTGAAAGAATTAAAAACTTTTAATTGTGCTCTTCTTGATCATAATAATAGCAAACTTTGAAAGCTCGAAAATTGGAATTAGTCAAGTAAGCTAGGAATAATAGATAAAATTAAGATGGGGAAGAAGAAAAAAATCTAACTTTCTAAATTGATTTCAGATTTTAAGGGGAGGAAGAGAGTCCTATTTATATGTTTTGTAGCCTCTTTTCTAAATGTTATGCCTTTCGGCACGAATCAATTTGGATCGTTGAACCGAGATATTTCAAATAGGAACATGAATTGGCGATCTATTCACGCTTCTACCATTGTTAATGAACTTCCAATCTACACCAATGCACCGAAAACAATTGATTCAAATCATTATCTTTAATAAGAGATTCCACCGAATCACACTTATTTGTGTTCAATCATCGATTACAACTAGTTACAATCATTCGATGATACACTAGACTACTATTAACACAATAGGCAGATGATATGCATATACATATTGCCACCGTGTTCAATGCCCAAAACTTTTCAAGGTCCGAAAAAACCAAGTAGTGGCGATCCACATCACACCCTTCTTTGATAATCTACAGGATTTTACAAAGTTCCAATGAAATGGTCGAATCATAACATTGTATCTAGTAAAATTCCAACCAATCTAGCCATTTATTCGCATCCATTCATTGTTTCCAGCCGATCATAATGATTCGACAACCCATTGGACTATTAACCTGTCATGTAGATGCCACATGAACACAACCATGTAGATGCCACATTACTTCAACGTCCACTTTGCCACAACATCCAATTTATATGACTTTCAAAGTATGAACTACAAAGTACGCTTTCAAAGCACTTAATGCATGCCTTGCAACGTGTTCATAACACCATCCACGTGTCTACCTTGCAACTAGCAAATGCTATCTTGGACACATTTAGGCTCTGTTTGACCAACATTCCTTCAAAAAAAAAAAAAAAAAAAAAAAAAAAGTTTTCGCCTGTGCATTGCACATGCTGTATTTCTCTGAAGGTTTTGTTAGTATAGCCGGATAATTTTGTTTCAAAATACAAAAAATAGCTCATTAATACAATTTGAAGACACACAAAGAATAGCTTCTTAAGAAAATATAACATAACAAGAGGAATACACAAATGTACTCTTCTTGAGAAAATATAACATAAAAAGAGCAATACACAAATGCATGTACAACAAAAAAATAAAATCAAATCAAATCAAGAGTAGTAGTTAGATCATTCATGTCTGCCACTTTTATAGGGAAGAGTTGATAGTGACCAATATTATCATCACTTGACACACAAAGAAACAAAAAATATTATACAGTATAGTGAGGAACCTTCAAATTTTTAGGCACAAGAACTGCAACACGACTTCAATGGAATTATTTTAAGAGGACATACATTAACGGCAGCCACTGTACGAGTAGTGTTCCTTGTCACATTAAAGTATTTACATTAGTAAAAACAAAAAGATATCAAAATATTTAAAGCAACTTTTTCAACCCAGAATTGTGAAGTAGCAAAACAGTTAAATCTTAACTAAAGATTGAACATCAGTTTGCTCCAGATTTATGGATTAGGTTGCTTTTCTTCAGGATTGTAGAAGTGACACATTGTTGGATTGCATTTTGTCAAAACAAGAAGTATTTTTTCACTCGGGTTTTTTCCCTAAGCCAAGAATATTGGGCTGTTCATCCGATTCGTATCTTTGTCAGGCTTCATTTTCTTGTTTGAGCCACTCTCAGCTTTTTCATCTGGAATTTGGATGAGAGCTCTTTTGCATTTAGCGTAGTTACTTCATCGGTGTTTGTGTAAACTTGGTTGTTTGTGATGTACATTTTGTTTATACCTTTCGTGGTTGTTTCATTTGAACTATCATCTTTGTGATTGAGCTGTTGATATTATTGGTTGCAGGAGAGGAATCCAATTCCACAATTCTATTAGTGACTGTTGTTGAAGAATTAGATATGAAGATGATTTCATATCGGTATTCAGGTAGATTCTGTCTTTTTGGTGTCACTTTTAGGTAGAAGAGTTGTTCCTCTTTTTTCCCAGTCCTTATCACGTTGCTCAATTGTACATCCGAATCCTACTATATGGTGATTATGGTTGTGTGTGATGTATTTACGTATAGGAAAAAATTGTTAAAGAGTTTAGTAGAACCTGGGGTGACCTTTTCAAAATGGTTCATCATTTTTGTAGCAGGACCTTCCAATAACGTTTCTACCGTTTTGCCTATCATGCTTGCATCCTATGCTCCATATCTATCTTCAAAGTGCACAAATGCATTTGCTCTGTGTAAAGAAGTTCATGAAATTACATATTTTGTTTTACCAAATGAAGAGTTGTTTGTAATAGATAGTTGAATATATGCTTAGAGGTGCGTCTTACCTTGGTATTGCTTTAGTGTGTTCAAACTTGTAGAAACGACACTTATGAATTTGTCCCAAGTCTACATTGGATATTCTGCTACAATTGCTGGACATGTACTAGAATTTTTGGTGTATTGTAGTAATTTTTCATTGGGCTTTCACCCAATAAAATTTTTTCTGTAGGTAAAAAGTTTTTGTGGAGTTAGATGAGAAATATAGTAGTCATAAAAATTGTAGGTGTTTTTGTAGTTTTGACTATAGATAATAATGTGTGCAGTGTATATTTAGTTAAGTTTAATTAAGTGTTTGTGAAATTACTCCTAGATAAGCTCCTTGTAAATCAACAATTAATGTGAACTTATGTTCATCTGGAGGTGAAATTTTCTGGTGGTGTGATTGCAACGGATGGCTTATCTTCAATTAGATTGTCAAGTTTTTCTTTGTTTGTTTTAATCCTATAATAAAGAAGGCAAAAAATAAGTATGAAATTTACTATTATGAATAAATTATATGATGATGGGAAAGGTAAAGAAGTTTTTTAGTTGTGCTTGATGACCATTCTTTGTAATTTGCTACAGTTAAAATTTCCGCGTTAATGAAAAAAGTGTTGTTGACTTTAGTGGAAAGTGTAACACCTAAAAAAACAAAGAACATGTGAATTATATTATGAGGTATCTTTTTCTTTTCTTTTTTTAATTTGTAATATTATTGTAAAGAAAATGTTGTATTTGTATTATGTTTACCATTGTATGAAGAGACTTTTAGATTGGTTGCCCATATGATAGATTTGTTGACATATGGTTGACTTCAACCTCAATGTTTTAATCATAAGAAACAAGATTAACATTATTTTTAACAATTTATTTTGAGTAATAATAGTTCAATGTTAAAATCTATCAAGCATTATATATTGGACTTGAAATGAAGATCAGATTGGAAGTTGTTTGTGTATTCAAATCAAATCATTCGAGATGAGAGTTTAAAAGATAAATGCTAAGAAAAGTCAAGATCGAAGTCAAGCATTAAAGAATCATAACAAGAAAGATAAAGAGCAAAAGTTCAAGAACCAAACATGAAAGAAACTTCGAAACAAGATCAAAGACTAGACTTTCTAAATCATATGTAAAGGTATAACACTTTGATCCTTAGTAATGAATGACAATGACTCAAAAATTATTTTTGCACGAAAAGTTATTTTTTACTATCATTTGCATAAAATGTTTTAATCAAAAGTAAGATTGATTTTTTTTTTTTAAAGTCATACTTGAACTTGTTCTTTAGAGAAAAAAAAAAAGTCAACGGTCAACCGGACATCCGGTTCGCCAACCGTCAATTTTTTTACTGTTGCACAACGGCTAGTTTGGTCATCCGATCGCAAGTAGACGTCCGGTTCAGTAGAAACTTTTCGTTTTGAATTTTATAAATATCATTTCACTTCCA